TAATGTTCTAAACCATTTGTTAAGCGGGGTCTTAATATAGACTGACTACATTATTTCTTCTAGCTCATCTATTTCGAACCAAAATCGTTGCTTCAACCATTTTCTATTTAACACCTGCCATAATAATTTACAGTCTTATATAATGCTTTGCTTAATAATTGTCAATCCCGCCAATTTCACGAAACATTCTAATAAAAAATGACATAGTTTTATCTGATTAATATGAACAAATATTCCAAGAACTGGTTACAACTTCTGATCACCAACTAACTCAGTCGAAAGTGATTCCTATATATGAATATATCCAACATGTTTGTCTAACTCAGTTAAAACTAAATCCTATATATGGCACATCAAAATTTGATGTCGGTGTAGTTTACTTTTTGGAATAATCTATCTAACACAAATTTATAACACCAATATATAACACCAGTGACATATTGATGACATAACCTGATAGCACCAAGAACTCACAAAAAATGTCATATCTATCTAACACAATGAATTAACCAAGTGTTTGATATTGGTCACCATATAAACATGGGCGATATTTTGTGAGTAAAGTTAACAAACTCATATTTCATTTTAACAGCATAGATGACATAATTCAGCCCAAAGTCAAACTCATGAAAGTTTTGGAAAATATCAGACACATGTTTAGTATCACTGCAATATATAACATATACATCTTAACTTTATATATATATATTACAAAACCAAAAGGGATAAGGGATATGATTTATACGATTTCAATTTGGTTAACTTTGTGGTTTGGTAGGACACAATCATTTGATTTCAAATTTCCAAGTTTTAAGATGTTTTGGGTATTTTTGTATATAATAAACTGAATTGATATCAAATATCTTGTGCGTGTTCCTAAAGCTAAACCACCAACTTACAAAGCGAATATTTGCAAGGTTTAGGAAAAAAACTTGTGTACTGAATAACGTAATTTATGTCTTCTTATGAAGTTCTTTGGAAACAATTTAATATATAGATAATGTGAGTTTCTACAATTATATTGTATTAATCATTCATAGGTATGGCATTGGCTGTCTCTTTGCGACTTTCTATAGTCAGTGGTCGTATGAATTAAGAATTTCTATATTTTTCTTTTTTGTAGCAAATTGCCATTTGACCTAAATAATATATTATACATTTATTTCAATTACCAGTTAATATAGTTCATCGAGCCCCATATCTCTATAATATTATTTGAGAAGTCAGTTTCTTACGTGTCGCGCTCACATTAACTCTCGCGATGGTTGATTACATAGATACCCTTAATGAATTATTAGATTTTAAAATTATTATTAAATTTTTATTTAGTTTCCTTTTTACCTTTTTCCAAATAATATATATAATAAAAAGGAAATATTCTAAATTAAAAAAAATAAAACGAAAATATATTTATATAATATGATTTTATTAAAAAGGAAAGTTCACAAAATAGTAATACCCCCATTAAAATATATTTAAAAAAAAATAAAATATATGCTCAGAATAATAAATATATATATGTTTATGAACATCCAAAAAATTATCAGTTACACTTTATTTTCTAATATTTTTAGAAATCAACATATAATTTGATAAATATTATGAAAATACATGTATATTTAAAGGATAAATAAAACTAATTTGATTTGACTTGACTAAAATCTCTATAATATTATTGGAGAAGTCAGTTTCCTACATGTCGCGCTCACGTTAACTCTCACACGAGGGTTGATTACATAAATACCCTTAATAAATTATTAGATTTTAAGATTATTATTAATTTTTTCATTTATTTTCCTTTTTACATTTTTCCAAATAACATATATAATAAAAAGGAAATTCTTCTAAATTAAAAAAAAAATAAAAAACGAAAATATATGTATATAGTATGATTTTATTTAAAAGGAAAGTTTACAAAATAGTAATACCCCCATTAATATATATTTTAAATAACATAAAATATATTTTCAAATATATATGTTCATGAACATTCAAAAATTTATCAGTTGCACTTTATTTTTTAATATCTTTAGAAATCAACATATAATTTGTTAAATATTATGAAAATACATGTATATTTAAGAGATAAATAAAACTAATTTATTTTGACTTAACTAAATTAAAGAGTAAATAAATATTATGAAAATACATGTATACTTAAGCGTTAAATATAACTAATTTGAATTGACTTAACTAAAATAAAAAGTAATTATACTTCAATTTTAATTTAAAAATATATTCAACTCAATATAGTCACAACATGAATGACTTGACTAATCAAATTTATATCCAAAATTAAACATCTAACTACAATAAGAACATATATTTTTATATTAATAATAATAATCTATTTAATTTTGTACATATAAATTAGAGGTTGACTCAAAGAATATNTAAAATAAAAAGTAATTATACTTCAATTTTAATTTAAAAATATATTCAACTCAATATAGTCACAACATGAATGACTTGACTAATCAAATTTATATCCAAAATTAAACATCTAACTACAATAAGAACATATATTTTTATATTAATAATAATAATCTATTTAATTTTGTACATATAAATTAGAGGTTGACTCAAAGAATATAAAAAACAGAATATTAACCAATTACAATTTAATTCTTTTGAAATTTATATATATGCATGAGACTTCAAGATCTTATCATTATATTCATTTATGTAAATTTAAATCAAACACTTCAACTTATTATTTATTTCGTTTTAAGCACAATATATTAAGTTATACATAATTTAACTATAATATATTTACATATCTAAGACAATAACCAACCGAAATGAAAATAAGAAAATTAATCAAAGTTTTATTATATTTAAAATAAAAATATTATAGATGAATTTGAAAATAGATATTATCTAATATACCAAATTCATAACCAAACCGACAACTGATCCAAAAAATAATTAAACCGACAATAATATACCCAAAGTCATATGTATAATTAGAATAATATAGTATTTATTAATATAAATTATTTCTATAAATTGATTCAAAATTAAAACTAAATATCAATCAATTACTATAAAATTTTATTTTTATGAATATTCATATCCGTGCATGAGCACGGGAAAATCACCTAGTCCCCTTATAAATATTGTAACCTTCTATTTAGTTTCACTATACAAACACAACAAAGCACCTCTATTTTTTTTATCTCTCTTAGTTTACGAAATGGTTGCAAACTTTGTTTCCGACTTGGAGCCCTTCAAGTCTATGTGAAATTCAAGCCAAGAACTTAAATGATTTCTGTTGTTCCACAATTGATAATAACGCCATTTGTTTTGTAGACGCATATTCCAGTGTTAGCGTCTCTGTTTATCCCTGTATTTCCGTTGCTTTAAAAGCACTGAACTGATCTACTCTATTAAAATAGAGTCACTATTTTTATCTACTACAAAGAATTCATATATGACCATTTCATTTATTACTTAGTATGACATATTAAATTATTTAGGTTAATCAATCAAATATATATCATATATGCTGAAAATAATAGATTTACATTCTATTTTAGTTATAACAGAATCAGTTGAGAGAAAATCTAATAAAATTTTACTAAAAATTTAAATATTTTACTATTAAATAACATAATAATGAATTTCGTAATTAATAATATCATACTATTATACATTAATATTAATTAAAATTTCACTATAATAACAAAAAAAGAATCTTATACTATTTTATAAATTTCAAAGTAAAAAATTAAAGAATATTATATATTAATAATGTTGAATAAAAACCTACACCAATTAGATTATAAATTTACACAATATATAACATAAAAATATAAATTATATATTTCAAATATTTACATTAATATTAAATAAATTTTTAAAAATGAAAAATATACCCGCACGAAAGTGCGGGTAAAAACTCTAGTTTCAATTATAAGAGACGCAGCGTTAGATTTCAGATTATTATTGATCGCTAGAAGCATATGATTGGTTTACATAGTCCTATGCATTCATTTCAGTTCTTGTTTGGTTCTTCGGTTCTAGAACTTTAGGATCCGTTTAGGTATTTAAAAATATCAGTTCAGTTTTTGATTCGGTTTGATTAACAAAAAGTTAGGAACTAATTAAGATCCAAGATAATTTTATATCCCATTTGGTTCCGCTTTTCAGTTAATAAGGTCAAAATTCTGTTTTTCAAATTAAATATTAAATTTTTGGGTTTTCGAATAAAAAATGGATAATGTGAACAAAAAAGTACTTTTGTAATTCAATTTTTTTTGAGTATGTTTATATATAATTAGTATTTTAAAATTATTTAATTATTTTAAGCTAAATATAGTTAATATACTTAAATATATATTTTGTGCACATAAATATATATATTATATTATATAAATTGGATATCTGTCTGGTTCTTAGTTCAGTTTCAGTTAGGGTTATTTAATTTTAGAGATTCAAGATTCATTTGACTAAATTGTTAGAGCATGTACATCAATGAACCTCTCTTGAGGTTCAAGTTTTGAATTTTTATTATTAATTTTTTTACTTTTCCTTTTTTAATTTTTTTGTAAAACAAAATCAGACCACTCGCGGACCGTCATGAGTCGTGGGACCCAAATTACAGTGATGAATTCAACCTAAAGAAGTTTATCCGAGAGAACTTTTCTGAACCAGGTTCATGTGATTTTTATTATTTTAATATTTTTTTGGTTGGGAAACGTGAGAACTTTCTTGTGAAGTCTCAATGTACTTGCTCTTAGATCCAAACCCATTTGATGGATTGTTCGGTTCCGGCTAAATATGACCATGCCTAGGTTTACACGCGTCAAACGTTGCCGTAGATTCCGTAGGGCCTCAATTATTCTGGGAAACCAGTACCCATCTTGTTTTGTTAGAGTCATGAAAAATGACAAAATATTAAACAGAATTTATAATAAATATTATCCACCATGGGAATTCCTTATATATTAGTGGACCGACAAGTTTTTACTATTCTAGTCTGCCACAAAAAAAAAAAAGAAAAAACAAAAACAAATTGGACGCGAAGTGGGAGAAGCAAGTGGAAACTAATTATTACCAAAAGTCCTTTACGACCATAAATTTCTTGTTATTGTCGTGGCGGCTGGAATATAAAAACGGACAACGCCGTTTCCCCTTCTGTCTTCTCAACAGAGAGAAAGAGATGGAGAATCACACGACGCCGCAAGACTCGACCATGCAAGTTTCATCTCTTAATTGCATCGATCTTGCCAACGATGATCTTCACCGTTCCGTTGTTTCCCTTAAACAGGTCCTGCTCCATTTTTTATTTAATTAATCTCAAAATTCAATAATTTAAAATAAAAAAAATATATTTGAAGGGGAGGAATTATTGTTTCAGGCATGTTTGGATTGTGGATTTTTCTATGTGATCAATCACGGCATAAACGAGGAGTTAATGGAGGATGTTTTCGAGCAGAGCAAGAAGTTTTTCGCTCTTCCTTTGGAGGAGAAGATGAAAGTTCTGAGAAACGAAAAGCATAGAGGCTACACACCTGTTCTTGATGAAATCTTAGATCCTGAGAATCAAGTTAATGGTTCGGCATGCATGTGTTATCAGTTACAAATTTAAAAGATGTTTTGTTGATTGATTGATCGATCACTATCTCTTTTGAGTTTTGTAGGAGATCATAAAGAGGGTTATTACATTGGAATCGAAGTTCCCAAAGATGATCCTGATTATGATAAACCATTCTATGGCCCTAATCCTTGGCCTAATTCTGGTTTGTTTTTTTTTTTAACTTGTTTTGTCTTCTGTTAATTCCATTTTCTTTGAATAAACTTTCCATGTTCTTTGCTTAGATGTATTGCCCCAGTGGCGAGAGACCATGGAGAAATATCATCAAGAAGCATTGTAAGTCCTCATCTGTGGTATATAATTTCTGTCTCAACGGGATTAGTTGTGTCTGTTTCATCTGTGTTCTTGACAATCTGAAGACAAGAAATCATTTCACCAATCGTGTATATCAGGAGGGTGTCTAGGGATATTGGAAGATTATTGGCGTTAGCACTTGATTTGGATGCGAATTACTTTGATACCCCGGAGATGCTTGGAAAGCCTATTGCAACTATGCGATTGCTGCATTACCAAGGTCATATATTTTATTATGAACATTACAGAGGATATTATGATTTCCTTAAGCTTTGTATGTCACCAATCATGGGCTCCTTTTGTTATATTTAGGGGTTTCTGATCCTTCGAGAGGAATATATGCTTGTGGAGCACATTCAGATTACGGAATGATGACTCTGTTAGCCACTGATGGTGTAATGGGCCTCCAGGTACCAACCAAACACATTTTATTTCCTATTCTTGTACCTTTTGATATGACTGGGTTTAGTTACGAGAAATTGCTAAAACTTGATGACAGATATGCAAAGATAAGAACGCCAAGCCTCAGAAATGGGAATATGTACCGGCGTTTAAAGGGTAACGAAGAACTTTGTTTATATTCGTCATTGTGTCCATCATCCATTAACCTTCAATGATATATTTACTTACATGTGTTGATCAGTATTAGTACTTGTCAATTTGGTGAATCTCTTTAATTTTTTCTTTGTCTACAGAGCATATATTGTGAATCTTGGCGATATGCTGGAACGTTGGAGCAATGGATTTTTCAAGTAATACTTCTAATCAACTATTGATCATATGATTTGTGATTCATATTTTCGTGCTGGTGCTTTTCTCACATGCATTCCTGACTTTACAGATCCACGTTACATCGGGTTCTTGGGAACGGTCAGGAACGATATTCTGTAAGGCTCTTACTTATCCACATTTGTCTGATCTTTACAATCTTTGTGGACGTTATGGCTATTGACTTTGCATCCTATGTTTTCCGAACGCAGATTCCATTTTTCGTCGAACCAAATCATGAATGTCTTGTGGAGTGTCTCCCAACCTGCAAGTCGGAAAGCAACGTTCCCAAGTAAGACTTTATCTTGGTATTACTGAGACCTTTGAGTTGTAAACAAATGTTTATAAATGATTTTGATGCTTGTATAGATATCCAGCGATCAAATGTTCGACATACCTCACGCAACGTTACAAGGAAACACATGCAGAGTTAAGCATTTACAATCACGAAATGTGAATGCTCTTTCCGATCAACACTAAAAGGGAGAGTACGAAAAGTAAATTGATTGTATGTCTTTAGATATATAAGCTCAAAGCGAAGCTTCGAAACTTGTTGTAACATAAGATAAAAGTTTTTTTGTACGGGACGCCTTCCCACATGGACACCTGCTTATACCTTGTTTCAACCCTTTTATCCGTATGAAATGGAGAATCATTTTGTCTATTAGTTTTTAATGAACATTACTTCAAGGACTTTTAACGTAAAAACCCCTCAACTAATTTTGTTTTGGATAAAAAGCCATAAACTAAATATTTAACGGAAAAATTTTCAAACTAACTTTATTTAATGAATTAGACTCTTGCCGGTCATATTACCAATAGTACCGATAAGTCTTTAGTTTATGAGTTTTATCACTAAACATAAAAAAAAGTAAAAAAACTACATAAATTAAAATAAAATAACATTATCTAAAAATTCGTAATTTTAATTTCAAAACTAGCATTTTAAAAATTTCTGTAAATATAAGAGTGATTTGTTATCCTTTTAAAATGGATTTTTAACTCTAAACTACCGTAACTAAGTTTGTTTTGGGTAAAAACCCTCAAACTAACAAGTAAACCCCCATATTAAGTAAACATAGCTGAAGGGTTTTATCATTAAAAATCTAAAAAAAAAGTTATAACATTATCTAAAAATTAGCATTTTAAAAACTTTCTGTAAATATATGAGTTTGATTTGTTTTAACATCAATACTATATATATATAAAAATTTAAATTTCAAAACACCAAAATATAATAAAAATCATCTAAAGATTTATTATTACATTTTTTTTCTTAGATATAATTTTTATTCTATTTTTTTTTGTTTTTTACATTTATAACTTTTTGATAATTTTTATTACAGGTAAATATTTAGATTTTTTTTTATATTTTTTTGATTTTTTACATTTCAAATTTATACATATACAATGTTGATTTTAAAAGGATAACAAATTAGACTCATATATTCACATAATTTTTTTTTAAAATGCTAGTTTTGAAAATTAAAATTATGAATTTTTAGATAATTTTATTATATTTTGATTTTTTCTTAATTATAAAACCCATAGACTAAAGATTTATCGGTTGTACTGGTAATTATGACCGGTAAGGATTTAATTCATTAAATAAAGTTAGTTGGGAGGGGGTTTCATTAAATACTTAGTTTATGTTTTTTTACTCAAAAAATATTTAGTTGAGGGGATTTTATGTTAAAAATCCTTACTTCAATAAAACTTTACAAATACAATTTTAACTTGTCAGATTGTGAATTACATTATCATATAAATCTCTATTTCTCCTACATGTGATGATCAACACATAGCTGCTAGATATCAACTAACTACAACATATATGATATTGATGAACAATAAGACCTAGTTCTTATTTGAATACAAATCAGAGAAATTTTGATAGAAAAGCCATTGATGCTGTTTAGTTAACATGTACTGAATGTAGCAGTCCAGTTCCAGTTTGATAGGGTGTCAATATAGTTAGGTAGAAATCAAAGTTAGAGGGGAGCAATGCAAATGTATTTACAAGTTGACACCTATATTTTCCCATTTGTTTAAACTTAAAGAACAAGCGAATGCAAAGATATGGCGACGACATCGGGAGACGCAGGAGGAATCGGCCAGGTGATCGAACGGCGAAAGCAGTCGTCGCCAATCAGATCTCACAAGCTGTGAGCTCTAATGCTAACCTTCTCCATCTGATGCGTCAATCATCTTCTGCTGAGGTACACTCTTGAAACACTTCCATAGCACCTATCACCTATGTAATGTAGCTCGTGCGAGGTGTATCGAATCTTGGACCCAAATCTATATTCTTTATGTGGAATATTGATAGAGTCTTGTTAGAGATAACCTGAAGAACTTGTAATCTTTATTAAGAAATCAATGAAACGTTTACAGCTTGAAGTACAATCTAGAATTACAATCTCATATCGATAGTAATTCTCAGATCATCGTTCTCATAACGAACATGAAGCTCTGACTCATAGCGTCAAGAACATACAACAACAAGCATAAACTCCTTGATTCAATCTACAAACTTATTTATACTTCCTACTTCCCTCTTCGATCCAGAATATAACGGCAAACCTTCTAAATGAATTAGAAGGTCCTCTCCTCTGAGTTAATAGGAAAGACTCCGGCTGTCCCCGAAGGTTCGCCCTCTTCTATATCTTTTCCCTCCAATTCTCCCGCATCACTTCCTCTCTGCAATCCAACTCCTCCTTTCTTCTTATGCACGTAAGCTTTATGATACCTATCAATACCTCGCCCATTGAAACCAAGCTTGCCCTCAAGCTTGTAATCAGGAAAACGTGCTACAAACTCGCGAGAAGGCAACCAAGAATCGTCTGTCTGCGATCTATCCAACCAACGAACCAACAACTCCATCTCTCCCTTCTCATTATAGCGTTTAGCTAACACATCAGACGGAATCCATTCCTCGAGTGTTTCACCCAAACACACTGGAGGTAAGCCATAAACCACACTATGACTGCCAACAACCTTCTTGATCTGCGAAATATGAAAGACAGGATGGATACGCGATCCGGTTGGTAACTCCAGTCGATAGGCTGCTTTACCAATTCGCTCAAGCACCCGATACGGACCATAAAATTTGGCCGCAAGCTTTTGGTAAAATCTCCTCTCCACAGATTTCTGTCGGTATGGTCGAAGTTTAAGGTACACCGTATCCCCCACCTGCAATTCCACATCTAGTCTATGTTTATCTGCTTGGAGCTTCATTATATCCTGAGCTCGACTCAAACACATTTTCAAACTTATGAGCATGTTATCCCTCTCCAATAAAGATTCCTCCAAATCAAAATTCGTTGTTGAACCCTTCTCAAACTTAACCAACTGTGGCGGATCTCTCCCGCACATCACCTTAAACGGAGTAGCTTTGAGGGACGAGTGAAACGATGTGTTATACCAATACTCAGCCCAACAAAGAAACTGAGACCACATACGAGGATGAGCTGAGGCATAACATCTCAAATATGTTTCAAAGCAACGGTTTAGAATTTCAGTCTACCCATCCGCCTGTGGGTGAAATGCAGTGCTGTATTTAAGAGATGTCCCCGCCAACTTGAAACATTCCTTCTAAAAAGAGCTCAAGAACAACCGATCTCTGTCTGAAACAATGCTGCTTGGATAACCATGAAGCCGAACTATCTCACTGACAAACTTCTTCGCGACATCCACGGAAGTGAAAGGATGTTTAAGGCCAATGAAATGAGCTCCCTTACTCAGACGATCCACTACCACCAATATGACATTGATCCCATAAGAAGTTGGTAATCCTTCAATAAAATCCATGTTGATATCCTCCCAAATTTTGTTTGGTATTGGTAATGGTTGCAGTAACCCAGCCGGTGATAAGGTAGAATGTTTGTGGGTTTGGCAAATCTCACAAGCTGCCACATACTCTTGAACCCTCTTCCTGACACCCTTCCATGTAAACGAACCCTGAATGCGCATTAAAGTCTTCACTACTCCAGAATGACCTCCCATCTTGCTGTTATGACATTCATGTAAGATGACCTCAATGAACTTCGAAGTTTTTGGAATCACTAACCGCTGTTTTGACCATAATTTCCCGTCAGAAACCAACAACTTGTTCGACGTCAAACTCCCATTATGTAACCCTGAAATCAAACCCTGAATGTACTGATCCTCAGCAATTTCCTTATACAGATCCTCCCACTGTAATACCTGTGGAACTGTAAGTGCTAACAACAAAGACGAAACTGCCATATACCTTGATAACCCATCTGCTGCTTTGTTTTCACAACCCGGTTTGTAGAAAATATCAAAATCAAAGCCTAACAAACGAGTTAGCCACCTCTGATACTCCATATTCACCTCCTTTTGCTCCAACAAGTATTTAATGCTCCTCTGATCAGTATGAACTTGAAATTTGCGGCCTAATAAGTAGTGCTTCCATTTCCTTACCGCCATCACAATAGCTATAAGTTCTCGTTCATACGCTGGTTTAAGCTGTTCTCTCTCAGTCAAAGCATGACTAAAATAGGCAATAGGTTGTCGATCTTGCATCAATACTGCTCCCACTCCAAACCCTAAGGCATCTGTTTCCACAATGAACATTTTGTAAAATCTGGCAATGCAAGTACTGGCGCTCGAGTCATAGCATCCTTAAGCTTCTGAAAAGCTTACTGAGCGTCCTCCGTCCACACAAACTTATCTTTCTTTAACAGCGAAGTCAAAGGCCGAGCAAGTATCCCATTGTTCTTAACAAACCTCCTATAATATCCTGTCAAACCCAAGAATCCCCTCAACTGTTTCAGAGACCTAGGAGTAGACCATCTCTGCATTGCTTCCGTCTTCTGACCATCCGTTCCAACCCTTTCCTTGGAAATAATATGCCCCAGATATTCAACTTGTGCCACGCCAAAAGAACACTTCTTTTTATTAGCATAGAGTTTCTGCTCTTGTAAAACGCGCATAACCTTCTCCAAATGTAGCAAATGTAACTCAATAGAGGTGTTGTATACCAGAATATCATCAAAGAAAACAAGAACAAAATCTCGCAGAAACGGTTTGAAGATCTTGTTCATAAGTGCCTGAAATGTAGCAGGATCATTGGTGAGACCAAATGGCATCACCAAAAACTCATAGTGACCCTCCACCGTTCTAAAGGCTGTCTTGCTAACATCTTCTTCTCTCATGCGTATTTGATGATAGCCTGACCGCAAATCCAACTTAGAAAATACACTTGCTCCATATAGCTCATCAAGGAGTTGATCTATCACTGGAATTGGGTATTTGTCAGGGACTGTAGCTCGGTTTAATGCTCGGTAATCGACACAGAAACGCATTCCTCCATCCTTCTTTTTAACTAACAAGACTGGGCTTGAGAAAGGGCTAACACTCGGTCTTATGATTCCTGCATCCAACATCTCTTTCACCATTTGTTCCATGATAACTTTTCTTGCATGAGGATATCGGTATGGATGTACTGAGACTGCTGAAACCCCAGGAATTAAAGTGATCGCATGTTCTTGCCCTCGTATGGGTGGTAGGCCCACTGGTAAAGCAAAGATGTCAGCAAAGTTATCCAACACCTTTGGGAGTTCTACAAGTATCTCTGGTACTACGGATGTCACTGCTGTAGCAGTTAAATGTACTTCCCTCCTAGTTAAACTACTAGAGCGTGTAGGAGACAATGACTTGAGAGAGAGTTTATTGTTGTGTAACTCCGGCTCTCCTAACAATGTAACTCTCTCCCCTCGGTAGGTGAAAGTGAGTTCCTGCTGCTTCCAATCAACTTCACACCTACCCAAGGTTTCCAGCCACTGAACACCTAGAATGACATCAACACTTCCTAGTTCTAAGGAGATAAAGTCTGATGTGAAGTCAGTATTATTGAGGATAAAGGTAACTGCTCGGCACACTCCAAATGCTTTAACAGTAACCCCATTCTCTAACAACACATCCAAGCTACAAGCTGCAGAAATTTTCAAATGTAGCTTTTCCACAACCGATGGTGAAATAAAGTTGTGGGATGCTCCACTGTCGAGCATGACAATTACCTCCTTTTGATTAATTCTCCCTCTCATCTTAGTAGTCTTCGGAGAAGAAATCCCAAGGAAAGAATTATATGACAAAGTCATTAACTCCTGTCCTTGTCGTATGTCATCACAAAGTAAAGCTTCGTCTTCTTGATCCAAAACTTCGACTTCCCATCCATTTTACAAGGATAAGATGCGTAGTTCTTTGTTAGGACATACTTCAGCATGAGCACGAGACCATGGTGCTTTACACTTAAAGCAGATCTTATCTCTTCTCATTGCGTTTAACTCTGCATCGGTATGTTTCTGTCTTGGTCTTTGGTTACTGGTCTTCGAGTTAGCAGTCTCTTTATTCTTCCTTTGTTCAGCATTATGCTTATCACTTGACTGCCACTTCGAAGTCACCGTCACGGACTTGTCACTTGAATTGTAACTCTTGTGAGTGTTGTTTGTAGAAATCGATGCTTTGCTAACCACTTTGCAGAAAACACTGGTTTCCATGCGTAACACTGCTGAAATATAGTTCTGTAAACCCTGTGGATCTTTCATTCGGATAACTTCCTTCATCTCTGTACTCAATCCCGTATAAAAGATACGTTCCAATAGGTGATCAGAGAGGCCTTGTACCTGAGCTGACAATGTTTCAAACTCTGTAACGTACTCTGTAACCGAACCTTTCTGCTTCAGTGCAAATAGCCTAGTCTCTGGTTCATCATCAATAGATTCAGAAATCTGACTAGTAGTCGCTGCTTAAATTCTGACCAATTCAGAAAACCTCCACGACGTCGCACCCAACCATACCACTTCTTTACTGCTCCTTGTAAACATAAGGGAACCAAATCCATCTTAGCTTCATCACTGTATCTTCCCAACGCGTAGAAGTATTCAATATCTGCAATCCACTCAGAAACACCAGATCCATCGCAACAAGGCATTTCTACTTTCTTCAACATACTATCTCGATTCGCTAAATTCAATCTGTCAGTTCGATAACCTAACGGTAGATGTCCCGGTTGTTCCGAGAAGGAATGTTGTACTTGAGACGTAGGTCGTAACTGCTCCGATTGAGGAATCGCCTCCGTAACTGGCGTTTTCCCCATCGTCTTCATCATTGCTAGCACCGACGAATTCAATTCTGTCATCGTTGCTTGTAACGTCGCTACTTTAGAGTTCGTCGCTGCGTTCTCAGCTGTCAATCGATTCACACTTTGTGAGAGATCGTAAACCTGAGTTTTCCATTCCATCTCCGCTTCCTCGTCTTCCACCTCGTAGTCCGATTTCGAAGCTGACGCGTTGTTCGTCATCACTGTCGCTGTGCTCGAACTTTTCACCGCACCAATGATAGAGTCTTGTTAGAGATAACCTGAAGAAGTTGTAATCTTTATTAAGAAATCAATGAAACGTTTACAGCTTGAAGTACAATCTAGAATTACAATCTCATATCGATAGTAATTCTCAGATCATCGTTCTCATAACGAACGTGAAGCTCTGACTCATAGCGCCAGGAACATACAACAACAAGCATAAACTCCCTGATTCAGTCTACAAACTTATTTATACTTCCTACTTCCCTCTTCGATCCAGAATATAACGGCAAACCTTCTAAATGAATTAGAAGGTCCTCTCATCTGAGTTAATAGGAAAGACTCCGGCTGTCCCCGAAGGTTCGCCCTCTTCTATATCTTGTCCCTCCAATTCTCCCGCATCACTTCCTCTCTGCAATCCAACTCCTCCTTTCTTCTTACGCACGTAAGCTTTATGATACCTATCAAATATTTTCCTGTGTTAGTAAATTTGAATCTAGTCTATCATCTTTGGCCTGATGTTACTATAGTTCTAGTGAGTACTTTCAGACATAGACACAAGTTTAATTGAATACCTTCTATAAACACAGAATATGTTAACTGTTCTGCAACAGTGTCGTTGATGGTCTAAACAGAACATGACTTCTAATATATTGGAAACTTGCTGGCGACCTCAAGCTACTGTGAATCAATGTGTAAATAAAGAAGCATTAAACAAGAGTTGTGTTAGAGTGAGATATGAATTACCTTCACCTCCATCTGCTTCAGTGTTGAATGTTTTCTCTTGTGCAGGCTCAGTTGGCAAAGCTCCCAAAGAATCTTCTGACAAAAGCTTCTTTAACTAAGGCATCTGGACAAGTATGTGTGTTCTGGTGGAGCATTTGTAACATAGATAATGACTTGGTTTCTTATGCATTTTCTCTTTTTCTTTGTGAAGGCGTTGTTGCAACTTCCTCAAGTGATTTCATCTCTGGATGCCCATATAGAAAGCGGATTGAACAGGTGTGATCTCTTTTGAGATGCATCACGACCTTTATCAATGAAGACGAGCGAATATTTTTATGCTTTTGGTGGTAGCTCTTATGTTCTAATCCAAGTTTCATTTGTCAATACAGTGGGGTTCATCTAAACACAGTAACCCAGTTACTTGAAAACATGAAAAGCACACAGCTTCGTGCACTGCGACAATCTGACATAACCACTATGGTATAAACTCAATCTCTTCTATTGGAATAATGGTTCTCTATTTTTCAGCAAGCGATTGATATTATTCTCTATGTTGTGTGATTTTCTTCGGATTCTTCAATAAGACAACAATCAACTTCCAGAGGCCAGTTGAGCATTTCAGACAAATGACAACTAGTGATTTCCAAGATACGCACATATGTTCAACTCCGTTAATTTCTTCACGAGTTACTTACACGTCTCTAATCAATAATATTTCCATTGACGTGTCAAACAAGATGGTAGTGTTGTCGTTAGTAAGTTGAAACCTTTTATGATTTAGTAGAAGAATCACGTCTTCACTTTTTGATTTAATTGACTTGTTCTTTTAAAAGATGTGCAACATTTCCTGCATGTTTTCAATGGTCAAATACAGATGATGTGGCCCAGTCTACCTGTATAGCATTCCAAAAGGAACCACACAACTAATAGTCTTCTTTTTTTGCCACTCACTTTTACGTGTTTTTTCTTATAATGTATATATTTGTTCATAACTGATGATGGCTTTACGTGAATCCTTAAGTAGCTTGAAAACTGCTTAGAAACAAGTGGCACTAAAGAGTAGACAAGAAGGAGATTTCTTATAACATCTCTAATGTATTAATTATTCTATTTTCTACTCCAAAATGATGTAACTCTAAAATAGACTTGAATTTTATTCTAATGTATTATTTCATTTTTTACTCTAAAATAATATTCTTAAATGATTTTTTTATTTACTTATTAGTAATATCTTTAACTTATAAAACTTAAAAATTAACCTAACTATTTTATATTTACAAAACTTCCATAAAAATATATTTTATTTAAATTAAGTATTTATTATTAAAAACTACAATAAATCATAAAATCTAGATGTCGTATTTTGTTTAACTAATGAGCATTAGAAATTTTTTACCACAACTGATCAACTAATGCATTTCATAATAAACAATAAGAATCTTTATATTTGATTTTCTTAAATTGAACAAGAAAATTCTGAATCGGACATTTTTCTCTTATGTAATTTCAATATCTACGCTACAGGAGTAGACCCACCTAAAACAAAAACATGATAAACATTTATTTTATAGAGGAAAACTGTAAAGAATCAGTAGTAGAATTGGTTTCATATGGTGTTTGATCCCATATAACCCGAGTTTGAAGCCTGCAATGGCACCTTTATTTGTTTTTGACCCTATTCAAATTCATGCATTGGTCTGCCACTGTACGGATATAGTTTTTCTTCTAATTTCAATTGGTGCAATTTTCATCATATGAAATTTTTCTAATTTAATAACAAAATTTTGTATTAAAAGAACTTAAAGAAGAACTCATATTTTCCATTTGAACAATACGTCACCGATCTTGATAGTTCTGAAAGCGATTTACCAGATTATTAAATCTTTTTTTAATATTATATTATTTATGTTTAGTTTTGATTTGTATTAGTTTACGCATCTTTTATGTAAAATTAATTAAATATTAATTTTTGAAGTATCATATTTCTTTTCATGTTATTATATTATTTTAAATATTATTTAAATAAAAAAATAAAAAAATTAGATTAAAAGGATCATTTCATAAAAAAAATTCAATTCCAAAATAGAATAATAAATAAAATTCCTTTTTTACAACAACAAACTATACTAAATAACTAGCCATGTTGACTCGGAAAGCCAGATCAGAGAGGTGGGGCCGACATAAAACCTAGTTGAAGGAGAACTCCTCGCACCACGTGCAAACTTGTCTGCCATTATGTTTTCTGCTCTTGGTATATGCTGAATCCAAAAATTAGGGAAGAAAGTCTTACCGCGTTTAATTTCTTCCATATGATTAGTAAATGCTGGCCATTCGTCTGGTGAGGACACCATCTTCACCAATTGAGAACAATCCGTTGCAAAAACTATTTCACGTAGCTGGATGGTGTTCATACATTCCATTGTAAAGGTGAGAAACTACATCGGAGACTCATTGCTCCCATCATTATTCCATTTGACCTTGTGTTGTTACAAAACCAACCTTGACCTGTGTAAATGTCTTCACTACGCCAAGCCCCATCGATAAAACATACACCTATGTTTTCCAGTACTTGTCCATTTACGGTCGTTTGGGAGGGTCCATTATTAGTAGGCATTGACTCTTTCAGCTCACAAAGCCCATTCCACTTCCTCTGTATGCAAAATTTCCTGTGGGTTTCCATTTTTATAAATTATGTCATTCCTATTTTTCCAAATATACCACAATATCCACGGGAAATAACTGAAATCCTCTTCCTTTGGTAGCCGCCATAATAAGTAATCTATATTTGAGAAAACAGAAGGACCTGGGAAAATGGATGGTGCCGAGGGGATCCTAGATAAAGCCCATGTTTGTAGTTCTGGGGGGCACTCGAAAAGCATATGATTAGTAGACTTTTTGTATGCCCCACAAATACTACATCTTAAATCACAATCCACTCCACGCTTCCTAATATTCTGCGCTACTAGTAAAGTACAAGACAAAATTTGCCAGACAAAATGTCTCAGCTTCGGGGAGAATTTAAGCTTCCAAGAGAAAGCCAACAAAGGTATGATCGTCGGACCATAGATAATCCCCCCCCCCTTATGACTTATCTGGATAAAATGTCTCTACACTGACACCCGACTTGATCGTATACTTACCCGATTCTGTAAAACTCTACCCATATGAATCTGGTTTTTCTGTCTTACTGACCGCCAAACCTCTAATAATTCTGACATCCTCCAGCTGGAAATGTGTATTGAGCAAATCAACATTCCAAGAAAGATTAACCGGATCAAAAAAATAGTCCACCATCAATGAGTACTGGTCTAATAGTTTCAATTGTGCTTTTGGTATTGCTGATCTCGGATGAGGAGCAGGTATCCATGGATCAGTACATACGGATATAGACCGCCCATTTCCCACTCTTTTGATAAGCCATTTTTTAACCAGAGATCTAGCTGAACAGATATTCCTCCATCCATAAGATGATGAATAAGATATGTGTTCCTTGAGAGGATGTGAATTCCGAAAATATCGTCCTTTAAAAACCTTAGAGAATAAACAGTTTGGTTTGTCAATCAAACGCCACAATTGCTTAGCCAGCAACGCTATATTAAAATCCTGGATATCCCAAAAACTTAAACCACCTTCCTCCTTTGAAATACATATTTTATCCCACGAGAACCAATGTATACTTTTTTTGTTTCCGTGAACCCCCCCCCCAAGAAATGCGCCAGTGTACTTGTAATTTTCTTAGTCACCCCTTTTGGTATTCTAAAACATGACATCACATGTGTTGGCTTTGCTAAAGGCACTGATTTAATCAAGACCTCCTTTCCCCCTCGAGTGAGAAAACAAACTGTCCAACTATTCACTGTGTTATTTATCCTTTCATTTAAAAAGCCAAAAATCTGAATCTTTGATCCCCCTAAAATTTCGGGGATACCCAGTACCCATGCCTCCAATTTGTGTAATACCCAGTAAATTATGTATCTCCATACGATCGAGAACTTTACGTCCGAATTGGATTGAAGATTTAGAAAAATTAATTTTCTGCCCTGAGACCTTTTCATAATCTTTAAGAAGTTTGAAGATAACACCACATTCTTCCATCGTAGCCTTACAGAAAAACAAGCTATCATCCGCAAACAACAGGTGCGAGACCACAGGGCTCCCCCTTGTGATCTTTAAACATGTCAATCTTTTCTCTCTTTCCTCCTTCCGAATATTAGCAATAAGAGCCCTCCGTACATAGAATAAATAAATAAGGGGAGAGCGGATCTCCTTGCCGTAAACCTCTTTCTAGAACGATGTGACCTTTTGGTTGGCTATTTAATAGAACCTTGTAATTAACTGAAGATATGCACTACAGTACCATAGTAACCCATTCCACAGAGAACCCCATTTTTAAAAGCAGGCTTTTCAGAAAAGACCACTCCACTCTATCATATGCTTTACTCATATCCGTCTTAATTTCCAAAAACTTGTCCTTATTTGTCTATAACCCATGAAACATCTCCTGAGAAATGAAGATATTATCCGAAATTAATCTTCCTGAAACAAAGGCCGATTGTTTCTCTGAAATCAATTTTGTTAATAGAGGCTTCAGTCTTTGGCACAACACCTTTGAAATAATTTTATAACCCACATTACATAAACTGATGGGTCGTAACTCAGTCATCCTGTTAGGCCTCACTGTTTTGGGTATAAGACAAATATTTGTCATATTCAATTTAGAATCCAACAAGCCTGTATTTAAAATATTATTTACCATTGCAACCACGTCCTCTTTTATAATTGCCCAAGACTGTTGGTAGAAAAGCGCAGTCATACCATCAGGTCCAAAAGCTTTTTCCGGATGCATCATAAAAAGAGCCGTCCTCACTTCTATCTTTGTAACCGTAGCCATTAACCTAGTATTGTGGGCACTCGTTACCAGGGTGGGAATTTCCTCAAGAAATCCATCAATCTCAGCGGGAGAAGAGGTATGAAACAGATCAGTAAAAATACTTAACTGCCACTTCCTCAACCTCCGATTCTGAATTAACCCATACTTCATCCTCATTATACAAACCTATAATTCTATTCCGAACACACCTTTGTTTTGTTAAGGCATGATAGAACTTTGTATTTCTGTCACCACACATTTTCGACATCGTTCTACTCTTTTGTTCCCAATATTTTTCCTCATCCTGATATGCCTCTTTTAATTTCCTAGAAACCTCTAAAACTTCGTCATTTGACTTTGAAAAGTCGTTTTGAAACTCCTCCAAAGCTTTTTGTAAATTATTTATTTTTTCTTCCCATACGGGGGATTATTCTTCCTCCAAACCGAAATCTTGCGTCTACAAGAATGAATCTTGTCAACTATCCCCACATTTCCATTTTCTTTCCTCCAATTCCACCCTCTTGTGATCGATTCCATTAATTCATCTTCACCAATCCATCTCTTATGAAACCGGAATTGCCTCCTAAATTTGATAACTTTATCGTCCACCGTAGCTACAATGGGCCTATGATCTGAGCCAATCATTACCAAATACTCCACAAAAGAACATAGAAATAAATTATGCCATTAT